TCAGTAGTTCACGCTGGTCACCTACTGTGTATCAGGCACTGTGCTGGTCCCTGAGTGTCAGGCCTGAGTATCCCACCCTGCCCTCCTCCTATGGGGACTTGTCATCAAACAATTTCTGAACAATAGGGAAGTCACTGTGGTGGCAGAGGCTGAGGAGGGCCAAAGGGTAGGGCTTCACTGGGAGTGGCCTGGTGAGGGCTTCCCTACGAAGGGGCCCCACAGAGCTGAAATTGAGAAGGAGTGGGTGAGTGGGATAGGAGAGTGGGGAACAGTCCTCCCTTCTGTGGCGGTGGGGGGGTATCTTGGGGATGAGGGAAGCAAGGATACAGGGGATATGAGGCGGTTTGGGAGACAGGCGAATATGTCATCTTCCTGAGAGCTTGGGATGCAGAGGGTTGGAGTGGGGCCCTCCTGCAGCAGCGGCCCAGCAGCTGGAAAGAATGCAACTTGGAGGCACCGTGGCAGGCGCTTGCAGTGAAAGTTGAGGAAGCAGATTCAGAGAAAAGGCTCACTGTCTGCTTCCTGAGCCTTGCTCTTCTGCCTGTAGGGGGGGGGGGGGCTAGCCTTTGTGACAGGCTGGACTAGATAAATGTTTGGGGCTCGTGGCAGGGATACAGCAGAGTGCAAGGGTGCCCTGCCTGGCTCTGGGAGAAGCCCCTACAACAGGGCAGGTGTGGTGTCTCTCACTCACGCCGGTAATGATGGCTTTCTCTTCATCCCTCATAGGACATACCAACGTTTGTGAACTCAGGTCCTGCAGTGACAGACTGAGCCCCCTGAAGACCAGGTGAATCCTGGCTCTGCCACTAACTGGCTGTCTGGATCCAGGAATCATTTGCCTTCCCTGAGCCTCGGTTTCTTTATCTGGTTAGGGCATCTCCCTCCAGTCTGTTTCATATATATTGAGATAAAAATCCAAATTTTAAGTTAAAAAAGATTTAGTTTTTAACATGTGTGCACATGTGTGCAGGAGGCCAGAAGAGGGCATTGGATCTCCTGGAGCTGGAGTTTCAGGTGGTTGTGAGTCAGTCGGTGCCGGGAGCCCAACTCTGCTCCTGCGCCAGGGCAGCAACACTGAGCCGTCTCCCCAGCCCCAAAGCCCCACTTTCCTACAAGGTGTACTATGTGAACCCAGACAACACATGCAGCCGGGTGTGGACACTGTCACCTCCCTTTATGCCACCTGGGAGTCTGCATAAATTCTGTGAGATCCACAGGGAAGATTTTCAGACTCGTTTATTCAGCATGCCTGTTACTTTTGCTTGGTGCATAGTAGGTGTCCAGTAGATATGTATCAGATGGCAAAGCCCTTCTTTTCCTGGGACTGTGTGTTTTTTTTTTTTTAAAAGATTTTATTTATTATGTATACAACATTCTGCTTCCATGTATATATGCACACCAGAAGAGGGCGCCAGATCTGATAGCAGATGGCACCATGTGGTTGCTGGGAACTGAACTCAGGACCTTTGGAAGAGCAGTCGGTGCTCTTAACCTCTGAGCCATCTCTCGAGCCCTATTTTTAATATTCATTTCATTTTATGTGCATATGTGTGTGCCTGAGCGTATGTTTGTGTACCGCATATGTGCAGTGCACCTGGCGGTCAGAAGAGGGCACTGCAGCTAGGGTTATAGGCAGTTGTGGGTGCTGAGAGTTGAACCTGGGTCCTCTGTAAGAGCAGAAAGTGCTCTTAAGTGCATAGCCATCTCTCCAGTTCCCCTGGGGTTGTGTTCCACACGGGTACAGAGAGGACTCCAGTGAGATGGCCTGTGTAGGCCCCACATGCAGAAGGCCTACTTATAAGACCTCCACTAAGCTGGGCGTTGGTGGCACATGCCTTTAATCCCAGGACTTGGGAGGCAGAGGCAGGT